GGCTCTCTACTCAGTGGGGAGCCTGCTTCCTTCCTTCTCTCTCTCTCTCTCTCTCTCTCTCTGCCTACTTGTGATCTCTGTTTGTCAAATAAATAAATAAAATTAAATTAAAATTAAAAAGAGAGAGAGAGAGAGAAAAAACAATGAATCTTGGAACACTGAAAAAAATAAAATAAAATTTTAAAAAAAGAGAGAGAAGAATCAAGCATCCCACCTCATTTGCACCTCACGCCCCACCTACAATCCTGGGTTTTCAATCCATTTTCTCTGCTTCCTCTGTGATATCTCCCAGTGGAACATCACTTCCCCCCTTTAAAGCTCTGGCCCTTTGTTTCCCTTAGCACAATTAAGATGGGATTTTAAACTCACATCCAAAATAAATAAATAAATAAATAAATAAAAATAAACTCACATCCCAGAGGATGTGAGTCTAAAATTCACAAGTCCATCAATCTATCATTAGCTATGAACAGGGTGCCTAGATCATGATTTCTTTAAGATTATTTATTTATTTGAGGGGCGCCTGGGTGGCTCAGTGGGTTAAGATCAGGTCATGATCTCAGGGTCCTGGGATCGAGCCCCACATCAGGCTCTCTGCTCAGCAGGGAGCCTGCTTCCCCCTCTCTCTCTGCTGGCCTCTCTGCCTACTTGTGATCTCCCTCTCTGTGTCAAATAAATAAATAAAATCTTAAAAAAAAATGAAAGAAAGAAAAGAATTGGATTGTAACTTACTGGATAAAACAAAGCCCCATACTGATAGTAAATAGATGAATGAATGAATGAGTGAATGAATGAGGAGAAAGGAGGGCTCTTCTTTGTAGTTGAATGCCAGATGATAAAAGTAGAGGGCTTGCTAGAGTTAGAAAATCACCATTTTGCAACCATTATGATGAAAGTTGGCTTGGGCAAGGATCATGAGTGAATCCTAAGTCTCAGCAGGGAGTACAAGCCCCGCAGGATATTTGCATGTTCTCAGAATGTCTCCTCATAGATTGTGTATTAGTTGTAAAGGGGAAAACAGTAACTATACTATGAGGAAACTAGACAACCCCTTGATCCATTTTGACCTTGATCAAATTACATCACCAATAAGAAGCGGATGGACATTGCGGACCTTGGGGTTAACTTCCCTGAAAAGAACACATGTGATTTATATCATATTCCAGCTCAGAATGTAGAACTTGAATCTGGTCAAGAGGAAACATCAGGAAAAACAAATAGATGAACATTCTATAGAATGACTGTCTCATATTCGTTATAGAATTACTGTCTCATATTCTTTAAAAATGTCAATGTCATTAATGACAAAGAACGCTGAGGAACTATTTCAGTTTAGTTGAGTTTACTTGAGTTTAAGGAAACAGAATATGACAACAAAATGTGATATATGATCCTGGCCTGGGATCTCGTATGGGAGGGGAAATGCCATAATGGGCACTACTGGGACAACAGACAATTTTGGAACACGGACTTTAAAGTATAGTGCCAATGTTAAACTTTCTGAATTTGATAACTGTACCATGGTTATTTAAGATAACATTCTTCTCGGGTGCCTGGGTGGTTCAGTGATTAAAGCCTCTGCCTTCGGCTCAGGTCATGATCTCAGGGTCCTGGGATCGAGTCCCGCATCGGGCTCTCTGCTCAGCAGGGAGCCTGCCTCCTCCTCCTGTCTCTCTCTGCCTGCCTCTCTGCCTACTTGTGATCTGTCTGTCAAATAAATTAAAAAAAAAAAATCTTTAAAAAAAAAAAAGATAACATTCTTCTCATGTCAGCTAATTGAATTTAAATTTAAGAATAGTCTTCTTCTTAAGAAATATGCACCAGAGTATGAAAGATAAAGGGGCATACTGCATGAAACCAACTCTTAAATGGTTCAGAAAAAAACATGTTATAGTACATATATAAAAGAATGATAAAGAAAATGTATCAAAATGTGAACAATCAACAAATTTAGGTAAAGAGTATATGGAAGTTCTCTGTCACTATTATATGAAATTTTTCTGTAAGTTTTATATTATTTCAAAAGGAAAATATTTTGGGGGTACCTGGGTGGCTCAGTGGGTTAACGCCTCTGCCTTCGGCTCAGGTCATGATCTCAGGGTCCTGGGATGGAGCCCTGCATCGGGCTCTCTGCTCAGCGGGGAGCCTGCCTCCTCCTCTCTCTCTCTCTCTCTGCCTACTTGTGATCTCTGTCTGTCAAATAAATAAATAAAATCTTAAAAAAAAAAAAAAAAAGAAAGAAAGAAAGAAAAGTTCCAAGTGTTTAGTCAAATTCTGACCTTCCTGTAGCTTGGTCCCTTTCATCTACTTTCCTAAAAAGGCTCTTAACCATCAACCTCAAGACCGGCCATATCACAGGTGCCCACCCAGCTCTTAGCACCTCAGCCCATGGCCTACCTGTGAGGGTGCCATTTTCCTTCCCCAGTCCTGTGCAATCTAGCCACTTGAATACATCAACCTCTCTAAACCAAAACCCAAACCCAAAACAAAACAAAATCTATTCCAACATTGCAACCCACCCAGGTAGGTACTCCCAACAGCCTTGTTTCCTGTTTGGTGAAAACACGATTTCCCCAGATCAAGGGCAAGATGTGGATCTGAACCTACTCATGGCTTCATCCTTCCTGCAAGCAGCAGTTCCACAGCATATAGATAATACAACGGGCCTAACACCCCCCAACCTATGAATTACATACACATGACAACAGAAGCAGGCTATGTCTGTGGTCAAGAGCCAGAGGAAGATGGCCTGAATTTGGCTTTGACTCCACCACTCAGTTACGTGACTGACAGCAAGTCAGCTACTACCTGGAGCTCATTAACCATTCACTCAACATTATCCATCCAGTAAGTACCAGACTGCATTTTAGGAAGCAGTGATACAAAATCTCTGCTCCCAGAAATTACATTATAATTGGGTGAGACAGAAAATAATTTAAATAAATATACTGACTGATAGATAGACGGATAGAGACTGAAATATAGACGATGCCAGATACACGTGCCATGGAGAAAACAGGGCAGATAAGAATAGGGCTTAGAGTTCAAATTATTAATACTCTCAAACAATTTTATTATTTGGAAGAAGTTAAATACCATTTGCAGAATAATAAGTTTATAGGGGAATTGTTAGCAGTTTATAAATAGAAAGACTTTTCCCCCCTGCCAAATGGTCAAGAGAATTGGGTCTGTGATTTGGATGTTCCTTTGCTATGGTTTGTACAGTCTGTATTTGCCTCTTCAAATAACTTTGGATGATTTTTACATGACCACATTATTGTTTCCATAAAAGGTATTTTTAGGAATTGGAAATAACAGAAAGTTCTGGTAGACTTGCCACTTGTTCTTAATAACTTGCATAGTACTGTTTCCTCCTTTATGAGACCCGCCAACCTGCGCTGCGTTGGCACCAAAGCCATGAAGAATGGGTCGCGTGGTCATTAAGAAGTACTACACGTGCCTGGGCAACCTCTTCCATGCCAACGAGCCCGTGTGCGAGGAGATGCCATTATTCCCGTCAAGAAGCTCTGCAAGAAAGAACAGCCTGTCACATGTCAGAGGGAGCAGACTTGGAGAGGCCCAGTGAGAGGGGTTTCCACCAAGCTGCAGGAGGAGAGAGAAAGGAGACAGAATTACATTCCTGAGGTCTCAGTGCTGGGGCAGGAGACCATGGCAGTGGATCCTGACACTGAGGAAATGTTGATGGTCTTGGACTTGGGCAGTCTATAGTCTGCAGGTCACTCTGTCTCGAGTTGGGATGAATTTCAAAACACCTCGTGGAGCCATTTGAATTTTTCTGCTGTAATATCTTCAATTAACCTTGGACAACAATGACAAAAGCAAATAACTTGGGTAGCTAATTGCCTCTTTCCCCAAAAATGACTGAAAAGCAACACCAGCCCAGGATTTTAAGTGTAAAATGGATGTTTGGTTGCTGGGCCTTTTTTTTTTTTTAAGGTTTTATTTATTGATTTGAAAGAGAGAGAGAGAGAGAGAGAGAACGAACAGGGTGAGAGGCAGAGGGAGAAGCAGATTCCCCACTGAGCTCCATCCCAGGACTCCAATCATGACCTGAGCCAAAGGTAGCCGCTTAACCAACTGAGCCATCCAGGTGCCCTTCTTCTTCTTCTTTTTTTTTTTTTTTAACTTGGTTTCTGTTGTTTAAATTATGGAAGGAAAATTTGTGTTTTATTTTTAAATTTATATATGTATGTATATAAGTAAGTAGGTAACTTTACACCCAACATGAGGCTCAAACTCACGGCCCTAAGATCAAGAGTCATCTGCTCTACTGACTGAGCCAGCCAGGCGCCCCTACAGAAGGCAAATTCCTCCTTTGCTTTGTGTGTGAGGATTTTTCAGGAGTGATAAGCAGACAAGGCTCTGGTCCCAACATATAATCAGTACCCATTTTGTTTTCAATGTCACTAAAGTAAGTTAATTTAGAACTATTCCACTTTGGTCTTTCCTCTCCTACTAAAAATTTCTTTAAAAACAAAAACAAAAACAAAAACAAACAAACAAAAAACTTCTAGGGGTGCCTGGGTGGCTCAGTTAGTTAAGCGGCTGCCTTCGGCTCAGGTCCTGATCTCAAGGTCCTGGGATCGAGTCCCACATTGGGCTCCCTGTTCTGTGGGGAACCTGCTTCTCCCTCTCCCTCCACTGCTCCCTCTGCTTGTGCTCTCTCTCTCTGTCAAATAAATAAATAAAATCTAAAAAAAAAAATTCTTATCTTTAGCCTCTCTCACACCACCCTTTAAAAAAACATTTCATTCGCTATTATTTGGTAGAAAGGTAACAAACTTCAAAACATTCTGAAATAATATAGTTGAAGGTTTTGCTTTATTATGCTTTATTATTATAAAAGTAATGCATATTCATTATGTAATAAAGGGAGGAGCACAAAAAGTATAAAAATTAATTTTAAATTGCCTATAATCCCATCCCAGGTTTATTATTATTATTATTATTAGAAAATGATTAATATTTGGCATATATCATTTTATCGGTCTTCTCCTATGTATGTCTAAACACCACTCAGATATTACTATATACAAAGTCTCATATCCAGCTTTTTCAATATAACATTATATTAAAATTATCTTTCCTCCTATCAATAAAAATCTTATTTATAAACATAATTTTAATGGCAGAGAACCATCCCATGATCTAGATATACTATAATTTATTTAAATGTCCTCCTAATAGCAAATATTTCATAAGAGAGTTAGTGGGTCAAGGCATATCAAGGTTGTTAAGGTCCCTCTGTTATTAAGAACACAGGAAGGAAACGCAGAGACAGTGAGAGCGAAATGGGGTGTCAGGGCCAGCAGCGAGGAGGCGGCTCAGAGGTCCTGGCCTAGCCTTTCCAGCTCGTTGAGAAGGAAGTCCATATCAGCCCGGGTCAGCGCAGGGTTGGCCACAACCATGCGGAAAAAGTTGCCGCGGGTCCCATGGGGCTGGTAGCCGATCATCATGGAGCCCTCCTTCACCATGCGCTCCTTGAGCACCGGGGCCACCTGTGGAAGGGGTGGAAAGAACTTCCAGCTGCGGCCTGATGCCCACTCCCCTAGGTGCACCTCCCTCCCACTCGGCTACCTTTCCAAGGGAGCACTCATCACTCAGCTCCTGACCGTGGCCCTGGGTCACCTTTTCCACTGCATCCCACCTGCTTGGCCTTCTCTAGCTTCTGCATTATTTCCTACCTTACCTATCTCTAGGTTGTCACACGGACCATTTTCTGCCAAATCCTGACTGTTCCCTGACACACAACACTGCTTTAGTCTAACATCTAGACTTTGTCATCCTTAACACCTTCTTCTCCCCTCTCTGAATTCCTGGAATATCTGTGATCTGTACCCTGTAATCTAACATGTAATTTATAAGACTGCCTCAAACATACTGGTTTCAGATAGGTAACTCGTTTTTCTAAATAACTCCTTAAGGGCAAGAACATTCTTGTCCTTTCAGATCATCGGCGGCACTTAGCACCAATCTATCCTTAGGGATATGACATGTCTCCTTTCCTGTAGGAGACAGGTCTAGACCAGCCTTACAGAGTTATTCTGCCCCCAGCACTAGGGAATAAGGCCTCGCATGGCTGTCCTGGGCTGGAGCTCTCAGCAGAACTCCCATGGATTACATACACGCACTGGTGACTTCTCCCATGGCATCCCTCTCTGTCTTCTTTTAATTTTGCAGAAACATACCTTATTTCCTATCCCCATCCCCACAGAAATGAGGACAAGCTGGGTTGTCTTCCTGTTCACACCCCCACCTCTGGAGAAAGACTAGCAGAGGGACCTGCCATGCCATGCATGGCCAGCAGGGGGCAGAAACACACCAGAAGCATGGCAGTTCCCTAAACTGGCTTGACCAGAGCCCAGAAGACAGAGCCTACCTTAGCCAGCCTTTCACTGTAATCGGGGCTTTTCTGCTTCCCCCGCAGGCTGGGGGGGCACAAACCAGAAACACACATTGACAAATTCCGGCTGGGAGGAATGAGGGAGAAGAGGTGAGCTGTGGAAGGGGGATGTTCCCCCCTCACCACCCCCCACCCCCACCCCTCCCACCCGCCAGGGCTTTGCTGTGTGGGGATAGACTGGGATGTGGGAGGGTGGGGGCATACCTCCATGATCAACTCAAATCCTTCTCTCTTCTTCAATTCCTCCACCAGGTACCTGCGAACACAGAGAGAGGGAAAAAATCACAAATGGAGGGAAAGCAGAGCTACAGAAACAAAGGAGTCCTGCAGAATGAGCCCAGAGACCCTGAGAACAAGGAAAATGGGAAGAGCAGGGCAGTGGGTGGGGGCAGGATGGGCCAGGACAGAACCCCAGGGCAGAGGAACTGGGACCGCCCCCACTCCTACCAGGCTAGGGCAAAGGCCTGGTCAACACGCCGCTCCAGCCCTTGCCCGCCCTGTGCCTTCCACATGAGCCACAGCTTCAGACAGTCCACACGGCGGCCACACTGTACCACCTTGTCTCCGGTGTCCAGAGCCACATCGTAGAACTTGTCCTGCTGGAAGAGGTAGCTGGCCTGGGACCCGTGGCAGCGCCTAAGCAGGTTCTGTTGGTTTGCGGGGTTGGGGTAGGAAAGAGGGGGAGACTGTCAGACCCCATCCTCACCACCGAGGCCGCCTCCAGAGCTGCAAGGTGAAGGGGGGGCGGTTCTTAGCTCAGCCCACCCATTCTTTTCCTGCCATCAGGCCCCTTTCTCCGGGTTTTTCTCCAATGCCCAGAGTTCTCCCCAGATTTGGTGTAGGATCCCTTCGATTACAACTGCCAGCTAGAAACTTTTCCCTTTGCCTTGAAGACAGGCCACAGTGGGGAAGGGGGCACCCCAGGGGATGAGGGTGGTCACAGAAACTCAGCTTCAGATGAGGAGAACAGAATAAGGTCAGGACCCTTGCAAAGGATGGGGGGGTACAGAGAAAAAGATGGAGGTCCAGGGTGAGAGGTGGAGTGAGGAGAGCAGCAGGGCCGACCCACCGAGGTATCCCGGAGGAGAAGAGCTGAGCACTGCAGGCCGGCTGTGAGAAGTTTGTGAGGATTCCAGGCCACGGAGTCAGCCCTGTGTGTTTTGGGGGAGGGGGTGAGCAGAGCAAAGCGGCATCAGCTCGCTGCTCCTCAGCCAGAGCACCCCCCCACAACCTTTACCACAGCTTCAGTAAAGGGGCTTGAGACTGCCCAGCAGTCAGGAAGAATTCCAGTGTCTGATGGGCCCCAATCCACCATCTCTCCAGCGCGCCTCCCACCAACCTCCTTCCCTCCCTCCCATTGGAAGCTCCCTAGTCCAGGACTATTCTCTGGGTCAAGGATTGGAAGGGTGGGATTCAGGAAGTAGGTGGCCATATGCACCTCTGGATCCCATCCAGGAGATGTCTATGTGTCTGTGACAACAGGACGCTCCCACCCCAGGCGGCCTGTGGAGCAAAAGGAATAACATGGGCCTTGGCCTTGACTGAGCCCACCCCCCCCACTCAGGCCCAAGGCTCACTTACATCCACATGGAGCCACAGCCCGTGACGCTGGCACACGTCAGCAATTGCCTCCAGGGGGTCAAAGGCCCCCAGCACAGTAGTTCCAGAGGTGGCACTAACCAGGAACGGGACAGCACCCTGCGGCAAAAATGCAGGAGGAGAAAGAGGCTGTGAAGGGATCTAAAAAGCTACCCAGAGCCCGGCGCTGAGCCATCTCTGAGCTCTTACTGCATGCCTGACCTCGGCCCTTTCCCTGACAACATGCCACTGTTGCCCCCTTAATTTGCAGGTGAGGACACTAAGGTTCGGCGGTAATAAGAAATTCACCCCCAAGCTGAAGCTTCAGAGATGGAATTCAATCCTAGGTCTGGCTGCAGGTCTATTTCAAAGCTCACATACTTTCAAACACTTTTAATGTCTTGAAGATCAAAATGCTATTTTAAGAAGTCTAATAGTACAAAAGTTCATGAAGAACTTGAATTTTTATTTTAAAAAACAACCACAAGGAAAAGCCCAGGCCCATATGGCTTCACTGATGAATTCTACAATACATTTAGGAAAGAACGGATACCGCTTCTTCAAAAAAATTCTAAAATACAGAAGAGGAACGCTGCTGAATTGATCCTATGAGGCAAATATTACCCTGATGCCAAAGCCAGATGAAACGTCACAAGAAAACCTCAGACAATATCTCTGTGAATATAGATATAAAAACCTACAGAACACTGGCTGCCCAAAGCCAACAACATATAAAAAAATTACACCTTAAGACAAAATGATTTGTTCCAGGAGCAAAAGCTCCATTTAGCATCCCAAAATCCATTAACATAATACATTCTTAGCAGAATAAAGAGGGGAAAAACACATAGCAACAGACCCAGAAAAAAAATTGACAAAATTCAACAATCCTGTTCGATAAAAATACTCAACAAGCTAAGAGTTGAAGGGAATGTTCTCAAACTGATAAAAGGCAACTACAAAAAACCCACAGCTAACATTGTACTCAATGCTGAAAGACTGAAAGCCTTCTGCCTAAGATCAGGAACATGATAAGGATGCCCACACTCCCCCTGTCCATTCAACATTATGCTGAAGTTCTAGCAGGGCAATTAGGTAAGGGGAAAAAAAAAAAAAGAGGCATCCAGATTGGAAAGGAAAGCAGCAGAAGCCCCACAATGGGTGTAGAGATTACTTAAAAATCATAAACAAACAAACAAACAAAGGCAGAGGACCTGAATGGACTTTTTTTTTCAAAGACATATAGATGGCTGACACATGAAAAGATGTTCAACATGACTCATCCTCAGGGACATGCAAATCAAAACCACAATGAGGTATTACCTCCCACCTGTCAGAACAGCTAGAATCAAAAAAACAAAAAACAAGTGTTGGCGACAATGTGGAGGAAAGGGAGCCCCTGTGCACTGTTGGTAGGAATGTAAATTGGTATAGACACTGTTCCTCTAAAACTTAAAAACAGAATTACCATCTGATCCATAATTCCACTACTGAGTATTTACCCAAAGAAAATGAAAACACTAATTTGAAAAGATATATGCACCTCTATGTTTACTGCCACATTATTTCCAATAGCTAATAGGAAAGCAACCCAAGTGTCCATCAATAGATGAATAAAGAAGCTGTAGTATATGTGTGTGTGTGTGTGTGTGTGTGTGTGAGTGTGTGTGCATGAGTATTACTCAGCCATAAAAGAGAATGAGACCTTGCCATTTTCAGCATGGATAGACCTAGAGAATAAAATGCTAAATGAAATAAATCAGACAGAGAAAGACAAATACCGTATCATTTCACTTGTATGTGGAATTGAAAAAAATAAAACAAATGAAGAGAGAAACAAAGAAAGAAACAGGCTCAAATACAGAAAACAAACTGGTGGTTGCCAGAGGGGAGGCTGGGGGAGTATGGGTGAAATAGAGTGGATTAGGAGGAACAAACTTCCAGTTGTAAAATAAATAAGTCGTGGAGATGAAAGCATAGCATAGCGGTACCTGGGTGGCTCAGTTGGTTAAGCGGCTGCATTTGGCTCGGGTGGTGACAGGGTCCTGAGATCAAGCCCCAGGACAGGCTCCAGGCTCGGCTGGGAGCCTGCCTCTCCCTCTCCTACTCCTACTCCCTCTCCTATCCTCTGCCTACTTGTGCTCTCTCTCTGTCAAATAAATAAAGAAAATCTTAAAAAAAAAAAAAAAAAGCACAGTGTGAAGTGTGTAAACCTGGTGATTCACAGACCTGTACCCCTGGGGATAAAAATACATTATATGTTTATAAAAAAATTTAAAAATTTAAAAAAAAAAGCACAGCATAGGGAGTCTGGTCATTAATACTGTGGTAATGCATGGTGACAGGAGGTGACTACACTTATCCTAGCGAGCTCCGAGTACCATATAGATAGAACTATTGAATCAATGTGTCATATGCCTGAAACTAACTTAACACTATGTTAATCATACTTCCATTGAAGGAAGCAAACAGACGAGGAGAAAAGAAGTAACAAGTGTTAGTGAGAATGTGGAGAAACTGGAACCCTCATCCAGTGCTGGTGGGACTGGAAACTGGTATAGCCACTTGGAAAAACAGTTTGGCAGCTCCTCAAAAGTTAAATACAGTTAGTGGATGAATCAGCAATTCTGTCCCCAAGTGTATATACCAAAGAAAACGAAAAACAGTGGCGCCTGGGTGGCTCAGTGGGTTAAAGCCTCTGCCTTCAGCTCAGGTTATGATCTCAGGGTCCTGGGATCGAGCCCCACATGGGGGTCTCTGCTCAGTGGGGAGCCTGCTTCCCCGTTGTGATCTCTGACAAATAAATAAATAAATAAATAAAATCTTAAAAAAAAAGATTTAAAAAATATATATATAAAAAAAGAAAACAAAAAACATACGTTCACACAAACACTTGTACACAAATGGTCATAGTGGCATTACTCAGAAGAGCTGAAAAGTGGAAACCCAAATATCCATCATCAGAGGAACAGATCAATGAAATACAACAGAGTATTACCCAGCAATGAAAGGAATGAAATGCTGAGACGCCACAACAAGGACAAAGCTCGAAGACAGTATGCTAAGTAAAAGAAGTTCATCACAAAAGACCATGCATAGTGTAAATCCATAAATATGAAAAATCTACAACAGGCAGGTCCATAGAGACACAAACTCGCATAGTCCTGCCTAGTAGGTTTGGGGGAAATTGGGGGTTGAGGGTGTGTGGTTTCTTTTGGGGGTGATGAAAATTGTATTGTAGTGATGGTTGCACAACTCTGTTAAAAACCACTGAATTGGGCGCCTGAGAGGCTCAGTTGGTTAAGTGACTGCCCTTTGGCTCAGGTCATGATCCCAGAGTCCCAGGATTGAGTCCTGTATCAGGCTTCCAGCTCCCTGGGGAGTCTGCTTCTCCCTCTGACTTTCTCCCCTCTCATGCTCTCTCACTCTCTCTCTCTCAAATAAAATAAATAAAATCTTTTTTTTTTTTAGATTATTTATTTATTTATTTGACAGAGAGAGATCACAAGTAGACGGAGAGGCAGGCAGAGAGAGAGAGAGGGAAGCAGGCTCCCTGCTGAGCAGAGAGCCTGATGCGGGACTCGATCCCAGGACCCCGAGATCATGACCTGAGCCGAAGGCAGCGGCTTAACCCACTGAGCCACCCAGGCGCCCAAAATAAATAAAATCTTAAAAAAACAACAACAATACTGAATTGCACACTCTCAGTGGGTGAATTGTATGACATGTGAGTGATATCTCAGTACAGCGTTTACAAAAAAAGAAAAGGTTTACCCAATAAAAGTGGTACTCGACTATTCTATACTGCTCACATTGCTACTCAGAGGTAACACCCATTTATCAATATGTATGTATTATTCGGGGCACCTGGGTGGCTCAGTCGTTAAGGATCTGCCTTCAGCTCAGGTCATGATCCTGGGGTCCTGGGATCGAGCCCCACATCGGGCTCCCTGCTTGGCGGGAAGCCTGCTTCTCCCTCTTCCACTCCCCCTGCTTGTGTTCCCTCTCTCACTATGCCTCACTCTGTCAAATAAATGAATAAAATCTTTTTTTTTAAGTATGTATTATTCTAAATAACCATAGGTTCTGGGGCGCCTGGATGGCTTAGTCAGTTAAGTGTCTGCTTTCAGCTCAGGACATGATCCCGGGCTCCCTGCTCAGGGGGGAGCCTGCTTCTCCCTCTCCCTCTGCCCCTCCCAACCCCCCATGCTCTTGTATGCTCTCTTTCTTCCAAATAAATAAATATTTTTAAAAAAATTTTAAAAAGTAAAAATAAATAACCATAGGTTCAAAGTGTTCATTCTATACTGCAACATACTATATGTACTTTATATAGGTCTACTTAAATATATAATGGGGGTATTTTCAAGGTAGTAAATACTACCCACCTTATTCTTTTAAATGGCTGTAAGTACTCCAATAATAACAACAAAAACAATAATGGCCACTAGTATTTATATAGTCCTTCACTGTTTCAAGTGCATATATACTTACTCATGTAATACCTACAACAACCCTATGCAATAAAGTTCTATATTATGCTCAGTGACTCAAGCTTGCTCCTGACTCTTGGGGTCCGGTCCTGCCCAAGGGTCTTGGCAAAGCCCCTAAGGGTAGCACAGAGTGTCCTGACTCCTCAGGTTTCCCACTGATCACTTCAGCCCACGGGGCAGAAGGGCACAGAGGTCAAGAAGAGGGACTGAGCGGCGCCTTGAGTGGGGAGGGCCCAGAGAAGCCTCCAAGAAAAGACCAAGGGGTTCTGCTCCACTGTCCCAGCGCCCCTCACTCACCTCGGCCTCGGCCAGACTGATCTGCCTCTCCAGATCCTCAGGAATCATTTTCCCTCTGGAAAAGAAAACTGACTGGGTAAAGAAGTAATTGGTTTTCTCAGCTAGGAGGCAGAATGGCTGAGAGCAGGGTAATGTGGGGTTAGCTACACAGTGGCCATAATGTTGATTTTTTCCTAAGAGGGGTAAGCGGATCTCAGGGAACAGGGCGAGGGACTCCAGCAGCCATTGGTAGACAGAAGGGGCAACTCTGTAGGAACAGAGAGGGGAGAAGAGCCCACTTGCGGCATGGGCCTGAGGCCAGAGCTTCTGGCAGCGGGAAGGCACACTGTGCCAGGCTGGCTCTGAGCCATGTGAACAGAAGGAACTTTACCTCTCATCTGTCTTGACTACTCGGACACTGTCAGTGCCAAGTCCCAGAAAAGCAGCTCCCTTCTTGATGGAGTAATGACACTGTGGAGAAAGGCAGAGGGCAGATTAGGCTTGGGGCAAGAGGGCAGGAAGGACAGGGAGGAGAGAGACACTGGTGAATGTGTGAGCTGCAACAGATGAGACTCTGTAGACTAAGGCGTCTCGAATGTTCATGTGCCTCCACATCACCAGGGTGACTGGTTCAAATGCAGATTCATACTCAGTATGTCTGGGGTGGGGCCTGAGACTCACTCTTTCTTTCTTTCTTTCCTTTCTTTCTTTCTTTCTTTCCTTCTTTCTTTCTTTTTTAAGACTCTGCATTTCTCACAAGTTCCCAGGTGACACTGATGCTACTGGTCCACAGACCACACACTCTGAGTAGAAAGGGCGTGGACTATGTACGCTGCACTCCTGGTCCCTCTGCTACCTGCGCACAGAAGGCAAGGCGAATGGGAGCGTTTACCCAGTCCCTTGATTGCAAGGAAATGCTTCTGCCTGGGGGCAGGCTGGCCCTGGAGATGGGTCTGGGCGGGCAGACTCCACTGGCTGGACGTTAGAATCAGGAGCCCAGGGCAGATCTGAGCCTCTTCTCACCTCCTTTGATGCGAAGAGAGCCAGGGGCGGCAGAGCCCGGAGGCCCCTCTGCTTGCAGTCCGGGTAGCGCTGATAGCGGGCCAGGTTCACGGCATACATGTTGGAGATGGAGCCACCTGTCGCAGGGAAGGTGGCAAGAGGGAGGAGCAGTGGGTCAAAACTGGAGCTTGCTCTCCCTGATCTCCACCCAGGTGAACAGATCAAAGCAGCATGAGTGATAGGCTCCCAGGGCTCTCCCTGGGAGCATGCTGATAACCCCCGAACAGCCCCAGGATTCACAGGTTCCCCCGGACTACTCCCCTCCATATCCTGGGCAGACCCAGGCAAGTGCCTCCCCTCCCCAGAGCAGGCACTGGAGTGCTGATCCCATGGACTGTTTGACAAACATGAGGATACAGGGGACTGGGCAGCTTCTCTCAGATTTGGCCCAAGCCCAGCTGGAGAGGACAGAGAGGAATCACCCCGCCCACCAGCATAGAGCAAAAAATCGTGGGGGAGGAGAACCCTCAAAAAGGCCAAAGAGAGGCCCCCCTCCCTCTCACATACCAGGGCAGAAGACCCCATCCCCAGAGCTCCAGCCCACCAGGGACCGGAGTTTCTTCAGCACCTCTTCTTCCATGAGCACAAACACAGGGGCGATTTCATAAGTGTACCTGCCAGGAGAGGAGGGGATAAGAAAGGAAAAGAGGAGGGAGGGCCAGCGGGGTCAGACTCAGAGGAGCAGGAAAAGGAGGTGGGGACAATGAGGGAGGAAAGGTCCAAAGAGAGGAATGACCTGGTGACCAAGAGCCAGGGAAGCAAGAATGAGGAAGAACTGGGGGTCCGGAGGTATGAGAAAGCTGGGAGAAAGGGAGCCCAAAGGGTACAAGGAGAAAGACTGCTAGCAGAGATGCCAGGAAATGGGGGGGGGGGAGCAAAACCATTCTCCTCCCCCTGGGATATGACTCCAGCAAATCCAAGCCTTTGTAAGGTGGGGGGATGGGGCCCAGAGATGACTCACTGGCTGGTGTTGAGGCTCTCAGTGACAATGCGCCCCGCCAGAGCGTGGGGATCCAACCCTGAGAAGAGCTGGTTGAAGAAGTGCGGGTGACCTGGAGAAGGGCAGTGGAGAGGGGGGCAGGGAGCTCAGAGGGCAGTCGCAGCAGGCAGACGGACAAACGGCAGACGGACAAACTCCAGACGCTCCTCCCGCCACAGCCCGGGACCCACAGGTTTTCACACTGTAGTGGATCACCTCCCGGCACCGTGCCAGGATCCGCTCAGCCGCCTCGCCCTCACTGCGCAGCTCCAGGTCCAGCAGCCGCTTCAGCTCCTCCGGCTCCTTCCACTCGCAGACCTGGCGGGAGGAGCGGGAGGTTCTGGCGGCCCGTGGACACCCCACTGACCGGCTGCCCGCACGGCCTCTCAGCTTGCATGGAAAATGAGTTAGGAATGTTTCCCAAGTAACTCGTGAACAAGGGTAAATATGCACAGTAGGCGGCAGCATATAATCCCTGAGTTACACGGCGAGACAGTGATGAACTGGGGGGTGAAGCCTTGTCGGCGGGGGAAAGTTCAGAGCCAGGTACAATGGGCAGGAGGAGGGGAAAGGACCCACCTTCTCAGAGACACTGGTCCCTTTCCGAATGACCTCATCCACAACAATCCCAAACACATCCCGGAGCAAGGCTTCTGCAGCCATGGGGTCCCCATCAGGGGAGAAGAGTGGTTTAGAGTCAGCCATCAGGATAAAATCTGTGAGCAAAGCAGGAGTTATTCCCTACTCCGCCCAGTGTATCCCAGCAGGACCTAAGCAGCAAGGACCCCAGCCACAGCTCAGTCCCAGCCTTCGCTGGGCGGACAAGAGCAAGCGCCCAGGGAGAAGGTCAGTAGCAACAGGTAGGGAAGAAACAGGCAGTGAGCGCTGAGCTGGTGGAAACCAGTGGCCACCGCCTACCTCAGGCAATGATGAGGGTCTTACCTTTCCACCCAGGTCTCTGTTCAGGGGAGCCGGAGGGAAGGCACCCAACTAGCTTCTGAGAGAGTTAGGACTGGGACAGCGGAGGGGGTGAGGTATAGGCAACAGTCACATGACCATGAGCTCACTCTCCTGACCCTTGCCCTGAAGAGAACTTAGAGATTTGGGATAGGGACAACTGGTTGAGATAAGTCCCTGAATAATCATTAGCTGACCTGAAGAAGGGGGGAATGCAAAGAAAAGCAAAAAACATTAACATCGGGGTTGAGAGAGCAGCCAGGAAGAATCACTGTGAAGCAGAGGGCTGGAGATCAGACTTAGTGGAGAATGTAGGGGGTGTGGTGCAGGGAGCTACTGCCCCTGACCCTGGAGACAGAAGGGGGAGCGAGCCTGAGAGAGGTGGAGGTGAAACAGTTTATCTATTTGTACCCCCACCCCCAAAGAACCATCCTGATTTCTTTTTTTTTTTTAAGATTTTATTTGTTTGACAGAAAGAGATGCAGCCGGAGAGGAAACACAAGCTGGGGGAGTGGAAGAGGGAGAAGCAGGCTTCCTGCAGAGCAGGGAGCCTAATACGGGGCTCAATCCCAGAACCCTGGGATTATGACCCAGGCCGAAGGCAGACACTTTGATCCCAGGACCCTGGGATCATGACCTGAGCCGAAGGCAGACACTTAACCACTGAGCCACCCAGGCCGCCCCCCCCCCCCCGAACCATCCTGATTTCTAAAGCCCTCTCCTAGAGCAGGAAGGAAAGGGGGGTTATGTTGAGGAAGCGTTTTGTTAAACAAGTGTAATCTGCGTGCCTCGCAGGCTGAGAGCATTCAATACACAGAACGTGGTGGTCTCAAGTGAGCACCAACTGTGTTCGTGACATCGTACTGGGGACCGAGACAGCCTCCCTGTCTGCTGGGAGGGCACAGATGCACGTGCAACGGTCACAGCCTGAGGCAGGCTGGATGCTGACCCCATGTGCTACAGAGTTAAAGAGGAGACGGATGGTGGATGGCAGCGGAAGACTGCGGAAGATCTGCAGTGGGACTGGAGCTGAATCTGGAAAGAAGGCAGGAGAAATGGGATTAGCAAAAGGGAGAAAGAGAGCATGTGGGGGTAGGGTGATGCCAGGAGCCAACATGGGGAAAAAGTATGGCTTGATGTAAGGTCAGTGAAGGTGCCTGGCTGGCTGGAGGGAGGTGTGCAAGGATGACACTGGAGCAAAAGCAAGGTAAGCAGAGTTGCATGAGGTTATGGGAGAGCCCTGAGTGCCAGAAAGGCCCAGGGATTTAAATTTTATCCTGCTGAAAATAGGAACTCATTGAAGCGTCTGGATGGCAGTGGGTTAAGTATCTGCCTTCAGATCAGGTCATGATCTCGGGGTCCTGGGGCTCTATCCCGGTGGGGAGTCTGCTTTCCCCTTTCATGCTCTCTCTCTCTCTCTCAAATAAATAAAATCTTAAAAAAAAAAAAAAAGAAGAGAAAAAGAAAACAGGAACTCACTGTCTCAGTGGCAAGGAATAGAGATGAGCTGATGCCCAGACCAGTATACAGCACAGGAGGCAGAAGTCACAGGGTGTGGCTGTAAACCAGGCGAGAACTGATGCACACTGGAAGAAGGGTGGTGTGGGTAGGAAAGGAGAGAGGAAGGAGGAGGTCCGCCCAAAGCTCTGATGAGCTACAGGAACAAAAAGCAGATTTGAGAGTCAGGGTACAGGCTGAAGCCTGGTGATGGGCTCCGTTTCTCATGGGAGAAAATGTTCAGAGGGACAGCCAGGGGAAAACACCCTGAGGGGAAAATACCAAGGCCTAGGAACCCCCCTCAAACAGGTGAATGAGAGGATCAAGGGAATAGGAAGAGGAAACTTCCTCAAAGTGAGTTGCTCTGGTTTAATCCACAATCAGCAGCCACTGGACCCCACACTAGTAGAAAACAGGTTCAAGGAACCCCAGAGGTCCAACCCTTAAACATTTCCTCAGTAGACAGGGTTTGGGGAGAGAGCGGAGCTAGCCCAGGCCTTGAAAATGGAAGGGTCAGTCCTTTATCAGTGTTGCTTTAGCTCCCCTGACAGGTGGCAGCTGTGGGGTGTTGGGGTGGAGAGGCTTGAGGGGAAGAAGCAAAGGAAGATAGGTACCAATGAAGCACTTAACCACATGCCACACTCTGTCCTTAATGTGTATTATTATCATCTTTACAACTGTTGAGGGTAGGTTTATGGCCCACATTTTTTTTTAAAGATTTATTTATTTGACAGACAGAGACCACAAGTAGGCAGAGAGGCAGGCAGAGAGAGAGGAAGCAGGCTCCCCGCTGAGCAGAGAGCCCGATGTGGGGCTCGATCCCAAGACCCTGGGATCATGACCTGAGCCGAAGGCAGAGGCTTTAACCCACTGAGCCACCCAGGCGCCCCTATGGCCCACATTTTAACTGAGATTCCAGAGACGCTATGGATGTAGCTGGGTCAGATCACACAGCCAGCACATGGCCAAGCGGGGTGTGAAGCCAGGCATGGTGCGCTCTGAAGCTCCCTGCTCCTAACCATCACACTCGGCTGCCTCTCATGAGGCTCCGTCAGGCCCTGAGTGTGCTGTGCTGCTGAGACCACTGGGCCAGGAGTGAGGACACCTCAGGGCCTCCGTTTCTATAAAACAAGGGGTTTCCAAGAGACAACCTCCAAGGCGCTTGCTGGTGTTCACAGGAGCTCAGGCCAGAAGACATGACAAGCAGGCCAAGGGAGACTTTTCTTTCCAAGCAGGGGCAGAAAACAGGTTGCAGGGGGTTTGTAAGGCGAGAACAACTGCTTAACAAAGAGAATCTCCTAGCAGGAGGGACGCTTTCCCCAAAGCTCCAAAGAAAGGGTCTGTAGGGGAGACTCCATCCTCCCCTCCCAGGACCTTCTTTATCCTTCCCACCTGAGTCATAGCTCAGAAACGAAATCTGGAGCCAAGGGCTCTGAATACTCCCAGTTTTTTCCAGGGATAAACAGAGAAGTGAGACATCACCACCCTTGTGCCACATACAGAATCCTGCCCTGGGCCCCTGAGAAAGGGAAGGGCCCCCGCCTGCAGAGTTTTTCTTTTTCTTTTTTTTAATTAATTAATTTGAGAGAGAGAGTGAGCGTGCAGGTGCATGCAGGAGTAGGGGGGGGCAGAGGGAGAAGGAGAGAATTTCAAGCGGACTCCCCACTGAGAACAGAGCCTGACTCAGGACTTGACTCAGGGCTCAATCCCACAACCCAAGAGATCATGACCTGAGCCGAAACCAAGAGCTGACGGTCAATAAACTGAGTCACCCAGGCATGCCAAGAGTTTTCCTTTTTCTTTTCTTTTTATATTTTAGAAGGTTTTATTTTATTTATTTGACATAGAGAGAGAGCGAGCACAAGCAGAGGGAAGCGGCAGGCAGAGGGAGAGGGAGAAGCAGACTCCCTGTTGAGCAGGGAGCCCAACGTGGGGCTCGATCCCAGGACCCTGGGAGCATGACCTGAGCCAAAGGCAGACGCTTAACCGACTGAGCTACCCAGATGTCCCAGAGTTTTTCTTTTTAAAAAGAAGAAGGACGGGCGCCTGTGTGGCTCAGTGGGTTAAAGCCTCTGCCTTCAGCTCAGGTCGTGATCCCAGGGTCCTGGAATCGAGACCCACATCGGGCTCTCTGCTCAGCGGGGAGCCTGCTTCCCTTCCTCTCTCTCTGCCCGCCTCTCTGCCTACTCGTGATCTCTGTCAAATAAATAAATAAAATCTTTTTTTTAATAAATAAATAAATAATAAAAAAGAAGGACATTAACCTGCAGGATAGAATGATAAAGCAAAGAAATATGAATGGAGTTAGGAACAGGGCTTCAGGGCTGAGAAGATGTTGGTAGAACCAAGTAGGGTTTGTTTAAAAATTTACATTTCTTCCAACTTCATGGGATCTCTAGTCCATCAACTCCTCTAGCCATCAACTCCCTCTTATCTTTCTTTTCTTCACTTATGCAACCTTGATTGTATGTTCTGTTGTTTCAGGCATTCTGTGCAAAATCCTCAGCTCCTACACCCTTTGGTCCTTCCACCAAATCCACCCGGGGAAACTCCAATCCAACTGGCCAATCCTCCTCTTACCAAATCTACAGGGACCATGAATTTATAGCTCTATCAATTTGAATGGCTGGGTGGCTTTTACTAGTAGAATCCAATGGTCCCGGTGCTCATTCCAACTAAACGTAACAGATTAAACACCTACGTGTACCACCATTCATTCCTGAAACCCCACTAAAACTGTATCGGTGGCATTTTAAATTCAGAAGAATAAAGTAAATGAGGAGAGATGAGAAATGTCAATAATCGCAGAAGACAGAAGGCAGATGAGAAGCGGTAACTGGTTTAGCACAAGGCAGAAAGCCAAAACCAGTATGTCTGCAGATGGCTATGCCAATGGGAAACAAGCTGGTTCTTGGGGCAGAAGCTCAGAAAGGCTCAGGAACTGGAAACACTAGCCATCTTGGAAGGCAGGAGGGAGTTGTAGTAGTGTGTATAAGGTGCAGTCAGAGCTCCCTCTCCTCCTCCTACTTATACAGTCAGGCAACTCCCTTCCTTTCCCCCCTGCTTCCAAAAAAGCAAGAGATCTGTTTTCTAGAGCAAATGGAACAGGTAGGGAGGGACTTAGGGAGGCCAGGACTTAGAGAGCGCCGAATCCTAACCACTAGACCACCAGGAAGGTTGAGGCCAGGACTTAGAGACTTGAGGCACACCAGGTGAGCAGGAGGCACTGCACCGAATACAGTAGGATTAGGAGGAAGTCACC